CCCCCCAAATACATGGAAATTAAATAATACACTTGAGCAATCAGTGGGTCACAAGTGAAATTAAAGAACAAATTAAATAATACCTGTAAGCAAATAAAAATACAAATACTTCTTATTGGAATCTATGGGATACAATGAAAGTAGTTCTCAGAGGAAAATTTATTGTACTGAGTTCCCACATCAGGAAAACAGAATGAAGACAAATGAACAACCTGATGCTACACCTCAAACATCTAGAAAAATAAGAGTAAGTCAAGCCCTAAGCCAAAAGAAGAGAGGAAATTATAAAAATCAAGCAAAAATTAATGCAATAGAGACTAAGAAAACAATCCAAAAAATCAATGAATCAAAGAGTTGGTTCTTTGAAAGAATAAATAAAATTGATAAGCCCCTAGCCAACCTAATTTTAAACAGGAAAGGAAAAAAAAAACTCAAATACATACAATAAGGAACGAAAAAGGTGAAATCACTACAGACTCTGTGGAAATACAGAAGTTCAATAATACCTATTTCAAAAACCTATATTCTCATAGGCTTGATAACACAGAAGAAATGGACAGATTCCTAGAAACATACGAAGTACCAAAGCTGGGTCAAGAAGATGTAAAACCGCTGAATAACCCAATTTCTATTAATGAAATTGAAAATGTAATTAAGTCCTTACCTACAAAGAAGAGCCCAGGCCCAGACAGATTCACTGCAGAATTATACAAGAAATACAAAGACTTAAGACCGACACTCCTCAATCTATACAATGAAATCCAAATGGAAGCAATTCTTCCTAAATCATTCCTGGAAGCAAACATAACTCTAGTACCAATACCTAAGAAAGACCTAACTAAAAAACTGAACTATAGGACAATCTCCTTAATGAACACATATGAAAAAAAATCTTCAATAAAATATTGGCAAACAGGATGCAGCAAATTATCAAGAAGTCTATACAACACAACCAAGTGGGATTCATCCTAGGCATGCAGGGATGGTTCCACATAGATAATCAATAATTGTAATCCACCATATCATTAGACCCAAAAGTAAGAATCACATGGTAATTTCTATAGATGAATAAAAACTTTTGATAAGGTCCAACACATTTATGATGAGAACCTTAAAGAAAATTGGAATAGGTGGTCATTAACTCAATGTGATAAAGGCCGTCAATGACAAGCCAAGAGCCAGAATCTTATTAAATGGCCAAAAACTGAATGTCTTTACGTTAAAATCAAGCAGAAGACAAGGATGCCCCTTATAACCACTCTGATTAAGTATAATACTGGAAACACTAGCCAGAGCAATTAGACAAGAAAGAGAAATCAAAGGGGTAAAGATATGCAAAGAAGAAGGTAAATTATCATTGTTTGCTGATGACATGATACTCTACATAGAAGACCCCCAAAACTCCATTGAAAGACTCCTAGATATAATAAATTCCCAATGAACTTAGATGCAATATCAATGCTCAAAAATTAATGGCATTTCTATACATTAACAACAAAATCACTGAGAGAGAAATAAGAGAAGCCACACCCTTCACATTAGCATCTAGAAAATGAAATACTTAGGAATTAATCTCACAAAAGAAGTAAAAGATCTATTATAATATCCTGAAAAGTGAAATAGAAGAGGACCTCAGAAAATGGAATGACATCCCTTGTTCATGAATAAGAAGAATAAATATTGTGAAAATGGCCATTCTCCAAAAATTGTTATACAGATTCAAAGCAATCACAATGAAAATACCATCAACATATCTCATAGACCTCAAGAAATCACTCCTAAAATTCATCTGGAACTAGAAGAGTCCTAGAATAGCAAAAGCAATTCTAAGCAGCAAAAGCAAGGCAAGAGACATTACAATCCCTAACTTGAAATTTTACTACAAAGCTACTGTAATAAAATCAACATGGTACTGAAATAAAAACAGATCTGAAGATCAATGTAATAGATTAGATGATACAACCACAACTAACAACCACCTTTTCTTTGATAAAGGAGCCAAACCTGTTCACTGGAAAAATGACGATCTCTTTAATAAATAGTGCTGGACAAACTGACTCTCCATATGCCAAAAACTAAAACTAGACCCATGCTTATCACTGTATGATAAACTAAAATCTAAATGGATCGAAGATCTGAATATTAAAACTGAGACACTAAATGTGTTGGAAGACAATAGGTAAACATATTGAAAACATAGGGATAGGTAGAGAATTCATGAACTGGAATCAAACCACATGGGAACTATATCCCAGAACCAATATCTGGGATTATATCTTATTAAAAAGTTTCTGCATGTCAAAAGAAACCTCCAGCATAGTGAAAAGAAAACCTACAAGCTGCAAAGCATCTTAGTGAACTGCCCATCATACAAAGGACTGCTGTCTAAAACATATAAAGAATTTAAAAATTCAGATCCTAGAAACTCAGGTACCCAAACTAAAAATGGGCATCTGAGATGAATACACAGTTCTCAGATGAAGAAACACAAATGACAAATAAGTACATGAAAAATGTTCATCATCATTGTTCATTAGACAAAAGGAAATTAAAACAACACTGAGATTCCATCTCACTCCAGAAAGAATGGCCAGGATCAAGAAAACTACCAACAACAAATGCTGGAGAGGCTGTGGGGGAAAAGGAGCTCTCTTGCACTGTTGGTGGGAGTGTAGACTGGTGCTACCACTATGGAGGGGAGTCTGGAGATTTCTCAAACAGCTGGGATTGGAAATCCCATCTGACCCAGCTTTTCCACTTCTGATCTAATTTCCAGAACTCAAAACATCATAGCACAGTGATATATGTGCACCCATGTTTGTAAAAGCACAATTTTTATTGGCCAGATCTTGGAAACAACCTACGTGTCCATCAACTGAGCAATGATTTAAAAAGTTTTAGTATTTTTATACAATGGAGTACTACTCACCTATAAAGAACAATCACATTGAGATATTTACTAATAAATTGGAGCAACTTGAGACTATTCTCATAAGTGAAATAAATAAAACGCTCATGTAAAAATACCATATAATCTCCCTAGTGTAGGAAATAGTAAAAGTATATAAGAGTTTATGGTAATCATGATTCTCCATTACACTGTTTAGAAGACTTATAATGATCATATTCATCAATTGTAATGGATTTGTCCTGCATTGTTTGATTTTATTATTTGTGTTGGTATGAATAGTTAATTTGAGGGTAACAGGTCATTATAAAAAGCCAGTACTGATATAATATCATCTTACTCTGAAGTCCTATCATGCTTTTGCTCTTCTGTTTCCATTGGCTCTATCATGATGTACCTTTTAGGACTGTATTACATGTGAAAGTATAAACAAATGTTCTATGGAAAATGAGATAAAATAGTAGCCATTGTTCATTTTCTGTTATTTGGTTCTGAATGCCCTGTAATACTCTCATTCTCTTGACTGTTTTTATACTATTTTCTTAGGTTTGATAGTATTGTATATGAAGTTATATGCAACTATTTCAAAGAAAGAGACATTGTGGTAGTTACTGTTAATTACAGGTTGTCTTCTGGTGAAATACTGCATTGCTTACATTGTTCTGTTGTGATCTGCTTTGTCATGTCCTGTTTTGTCTTAATCTCTTTAAAATAAAAAAAGTTAAAAATTGAAAGTAAAATGGGAGAATAATTAAATAAATCTTTGACACAGCATAAGTATAAATGATATGGAGTAATCTTCTTCAGTCCACTTAGATATTCTTACCAAAGAGCAAGGGACGCACTGTCACCCTCAGAGTGCTGAACAGGAGGGAGAATGCAGATTTCACCTTCCACACTGTGACTGAACCACGGAGAGATAGGGCATTGGGCTCAAACTAGAAGACTCCAGGAGTTAAAACTTACATGACATGGAGCTGCTGCTCTCAGTGTTCTCTGAATAACTTTGTTCAGCCTACAGAATTATTTACTGCATCACACAGCACATTAGATTAACACTCATATTCACTCATTTGGAAAATAAAGCTTTATACCATGTCCTCAAGGCACCAAACACTTGTTTTCTTGAGTAGCACATGCCTGAATCTCAAGAAACAGAGGCAAAAGAGCTTCTGGAGTCCAGGAGTTATTGGCTATCCCAGGCAACACTGTGGTACATTACTCAGAAACAATGTGAAAGACATGTGAAGTAAAGAAAACTGTTTTTACACAAATTAAACAGGATATTGATGAATTTCTGTGTTTTATGAAAGGGTATACGTGTACAAAGTTATATTTCATAAAGAATCAAGTTACACTTAATTAGTAGACAGATAACTTTTCATATGTCATATACCATTTTAATATACTGATAATCAAAACGCACTGTGCTTTCAGGGGAATTTTATGTACTGACAGTAAATATTATTTAGAGTTGCAGTGTCTGAACACACACACTGTGGGTCAGCAGACCCTGGGTTTGAAAGTGATAACAGAGTTCAGCTGGTTTCAAGTCTCTGTGCTCTCACAATCAGTTAATGTAAGACTGTGAAGAATAAATGTAGTGGGAAATATAGAGTTGAGGATGTGGATTCAGGAAAATTTCCTTTATATATTCCTAGTGAACCTGAGACAAAGGAATAACAGGGTTTATCTTGTCACACACATTTGGGCAGGTCAGGATGTCTGGTAATCCAGATGTAAGAAAAGTATCATGGACAGTGGGATGAATGTGTTCAAATAACTGTATCTGAGGGAGATTCATGGGAATCTGTGTTACTATAACTTTTAAAGTTAAAGGTATCAACAAAGGTTTTGATCACATAGCATAAGTGACTGAAAATGTTTCTGCATTTTTCATTTTAGTTCATTACAATAAAAACTTTTCAGATTGATGAAAAATGCAAGCCTATTATTTTTATTGGAAAAGAGAGTCAAAGAAAAATTCAATATACATACTCAAACACATAATTATTATCATGTCATATCCTCAAATATTTAAATCTCACACATTACTTCTATTTTCCAAGATCTCAGCATTGGATATTTTTCAGTGTTGGGAGCAGTGACTCCCAATAGCTCAGCACTGTGAGATGGAAAGTCATCTACAATTTCATGGAGCGCAACATCTCTCTTGCTCTTCCCAAGGCCCTCAGAACTTCCTTGTTCCTCAGACTGTAGAACATAGGGTTAATCATTGGGGTGGAGATGGTGTAGAAGATAGCCACAACTTTGTCCTCTGATGGTAAGTGGAGGGATTTTGGGCAGAGATAATTGTAAGCAAATGGTACAATGTAGAAAGTCACCACGATGAGGTAGCTGCTGCAGGTGAAATAGGCCTTCTTCCTGCCTTCCTGTGATCTTATGCAGTAGACAGCAAGGAAAATTTTCCCATAAGAAAATAAAATGACCATGGAAGGGAAGAGAAGAAAGATGACGGTGCTGAGGAACACAGTATACTCATGAACGCTGGTGCCCCCACAAGCAAGAGTCAGCATGGCTGGGCCATCACAGAAGAAATGATTGATGGCCCTGGACCTGAAGTAAGATATCCGGAGGATAGATACTGTGTGAGCACAGGAATTGATAGCACCTCTTACCCAAGATCCCAGGGTCATCAGCACACACACTCTTTTGTTCATGTGAATGGGGTAGTGCAGAGGAAAGCAAGTAGCCACATACCGATCATAGGCCATGGACGTCAGGATGAGTCCTTCAGAACCTGCTAAACTAACGAAGAAGAAAGCCTGGACCCCACACCCAATGAAGAAGATGCACTTGTTTCTAGATAGAAAACTGGAAGCCATCTTGGGGACAGTGGTGCAGATGTACATGAGGTCCATGAGGGAGAGCTGACTGAGCAGGATGTACATGGGTGTGTGGAGGTAGGTGTCCAGGAGGATGAGCAGGACCATGGCAAGTTTGCCAGCCTGTGCAATTAGGAAGATGGGAATGATGAGAATGAGGAGGACAAGGCCAACCCTTGATGGAGGGAACAAGCCCAACAGGATGAAGTCAATAGAGGTCAGATTGTAATTTTCCACTTTGACTTTGTATGATTTTTCCTGAAAACAGACACAACAATAAATATGTATAGATCATTACTAAACCTGACAAATTCTAAAGTGTAATTCGCTTGTGTTTTATTCACAAATTACACATGAGAAACTTTATAGTGCTCTGAATTTCTTCAAATAAGTCATTCAAAGTTGGAAAGCCCATTGCAAGATGCTCAGGACAAAGAATCATTAGGGAACTGTAAGACAAAATCACAGTGGAATACCAATGCACATTCAGCAGGAAAGCGTTCATTAAAGAGCCAAATAAAACAATGTGTATGTTGCTTTTTTTTTTTTTTAACAGAGATTGAACTCATGACCTTATGCTTGCCAGGCAGGAACTGAACTAAATCCCCAGGCCTTAAAATGTGTATTATGATGAAAGTGTTGAGAAATTGAAAATTTTTGTGCATTTTCATGAAAAATAAAGTTTGTGCTGACAGGATGGAAAAATACAGTAATTGCTCAAAACAGATGGGCAAAAATTAGAATGTGGTCGAAAGATTCCACATTTGAATACACACTGTTATTTTCATAGCCATTTTGAAATGGGTATAATTCATGTTGTCCAATAAGGAGAAATAATTTAGTTGAATCCAAAAACAAGATGGAGTGTGCAGATCCACCTTACCACTGTCAGTTTTTAGGTGGAAATGAGCACTGACAGAAGCTACAGCACAGATGTATTCTGATGGCCTTATGAAAAGTGAAACAATCAACCACAGAAAGCCCAATACTGTAAGAATCCACTTCTGTGCAGTACTCACCATGGTCAAAAACTTAGTGATAGAGAGTGTAGATGTGAACATCAAGCACTGGGTCTACAGTGGGAGGGGAGCAATTGTGTACACAACTTTTGTTTAGGGAGATAGACTCATTCTGGAGAAGCCTGGTGTGGTAAATGCAGAACGGTGTCAGTGTACTCAGTGCTACGGAACTGCACACAGGGAAGCAAAGAAAAGACTAAATTTTCCCTGGCCATATTTACCCTAATGAAGGCACTGAAGGCCTCTAGTATATTAAATTATTGTATACGTGGATTCTCAATACAGATGAAGGTATATAAAACAGTATCCTGAGCCATGTTACAAACATTTAAATTCTTATTCTTTGATTTGTGAAAACTGGCAAACAAAAATTTAGTAGAAAAAATTATTTTTATGACTTTGATTAGAAACAAAATAAGGGTAAATGGTTGCATTTCCAGTGAATTTATATAAGATATTAAATTTTCAGCAAGTAGAAAGTGCAATATTAGAAATACCAATGCCCTGATCCAGCAGCACTTCCTATCACTTGCTGCTTGAAAAGTTCTGTCAGAGACACACTGTCCATGAGAAGTTCCTTACTTGGTTACAGATTGGGAAATGGAACACAGAACAGAAAAAACTAATACCACATCTCATCTGATATCCCAGACCAAATCTCAGGACCACATAGCAGCTCTGTGATTGTCCAAGTCCCAGTGGACAAGTGGTCCAATACAGCATCATGATGTGTTGTGTGCAGAGTATTCAAGCCCTCTTCCTGACAGGGAAGCAGCCTCAGGTGTCTGAATCTAATAAGGCAAATGAAAATTTTTCACAAAAATTATATCATCTATCATTTATGCATCAATGCATCATTTATGCATCAATTAAGCATCAAATCTTTCTGTCCTTTTAATCTTTTGTTCAGCGAAATAACTATTCAGAACCCATATGAAGCCCTTGGTAAGCCTTTCCACTTACTGTGATTCTCTCATCTTCCCCTCAGCCATGGAATGTGGAACGGAGCAGTGAAAAACCTTATGAGGTGGCAGAGAGCACGGGAAGCCTGTGGACGGAGTCAGGGCTGCTGAGAAGCAGCTGAAAGAACAGCACAAGGCATGGAGTTTACTGATTGTGTGTTTTATTATGAATGATGAGTAGGAACATTTACATAAATGCAAACTTGTATATTTATGTAAATATGTAATTAAACATCTTCTAAATGTCCCCTTGAGTTACTTTTCAAATACGTGTACAGAAGAATCCTCAGAAAAGATGACTCCATGCTGTAAATATGGCATTGTTTCTCTGTTATTGTGTGAAACCAAACGTGTAAAAAAAGACCAAAATGCATATCAGACCTTGTGAAACAGGAAGAAGATGCTCCATTACAGAAAGGCACTGGTGGGAATTGTGGAGGAGGGAAGGGAAAAGAAGAAACTATTGAAATCAAAGTTTTGTAAATAAGGTGTCAAAGAAGGCTTGAGTGGAGGGAAGGTGGGTGGGAATAAAAGAAGAATTAAGACACATCATGTACAGGTACAATTTCCCTAGGAGGAATGAAATTGTTATGTATATCTAAGCAATAATTAAGGGAAAAAAGTACAAATTTATTGAAAACAATTTCCAAAGGAGAAAAATTATTGAGAAAGTTTTTCAAATTTTCTTTAAGCTCAAGTAAGATTTTCTGTCTGAGTGTCTATCTGGTTGGTGTCATCCTGTGCATCTGTCACCACCTGTGTAGACTGATTTTCCATTTGGCTCTGCAAAGCATACAAATGTCTTTACATAACAGGGGTTTCCAGTGATTGTGAAGGACGGTTTGTGTCTTATTCCTAGCAGCATGGTGTCACTCACAAGAGACTGTAACTGTAGAGGAGCAGCCTCATGGGCTCCAGTGTGACTCAGACACATTCACCATCAAAGTTTTACAAGTGCTGCCCTTGGATGGAGATGGATTCTGTGTTTTCATCATTTGTAGTCAACTGCATCCTTTCATTGCACAAACCTCTTTTAAATTTTAATGAAATATGTAGATTCATCTGACATCACCCCCTGGTCACAGCAGGAGTAAGAGAAGAACAGACCTTTGGGTCCCTGCTGCTCACAGAGGGACCCCATACAGTTTTCACTGCAACACAGGCCCCACACTCTGCTCCCTTTTCATCAGGAGATTCTCAAAGACAGATATCTACATGTGCTCTGACCACTTACAGAGGTGGAGTAAGACTGAATTTACAAAATGTCTTCTAAAGCTCACTTTGTAAAGAGAGCTCTAAGAAATCACAGATTTGACTTTTAAAAAATTCTAAATGAAATGAATATAAATATGTAAATATTTAAGTACCAAAAAATAAACAAATACATGTTTGCCAAATCCGTGACACAGTGTGACTGGTCTTTCAGAAATCTAAATCAGTTTTCTCTTCTCCTGATACCTGAAGTATCCTACTGCTCCTGTAAATCCATAAGCTGCCCAGCCCCCAGCTTAGGGAGATCTAAGCACACTAACCTTGAATGTTAAGTCAGTTTTACTGACATGGCTTTGACATCACTGACACTGCAAAGCATCTCTAGCTGCTGTCACAAATCCACTCATGCCTCAGTCTACCTGCCTATACTAGTCAGAGATGCTCTGCACTGATCTCATTTCACTGAATTTATCACAGTGTAAAATGAGTTCCACTCATTACAGCCATGAATTGGAGCCTGCAGAGCAGGTCTGTGAGGTGAGTTCTCACAATAATGCATGAGCTCGCTTAGGTGCAATTCTCTGCAAGCCTTTTAATGACACATTCACTGAGGAAGACCCAAAGGCCTCATAGGTGTCTAGATTATTTTCCTAACTTATAAATAAATGATCTCATTTCACACTGGCATAATTTTTATTTTCAATATTTTGGAAGGTATAAAAGCCATTATTAGTGTAGAAAGAAGTCCATAGTATCCAGGTATATTTTTGTGTAATTGAGTGCTCCTAAGTTATATGCCTCTCAGAAGTTCCACAAGGATGCTTTAGCATTACTAAAAAAGCAAGTAAGTAGGTGGAAAGGTATGTTATGGATGCATAGAAATACTTGCATGAAGTTTTGCAGAATGGGTCCTGTTCTTCTATAGTGCATAAATTCACTAGGTAAAGCTTGGATTTGAACCTTGATCTAATTCTTTCCAGTAAGATAAAGCATTCATTCCTTTTGAGAAAGGTAAACTTTGGTTGGCAACGTCACACTAAGTCCTCAGAGATGGATTATTACAGACTCGTTCCAGGCAAATACACACCTAAATTTCAATGGATGTCTTGTTTTAAGAAAGCCCTGAACTATAGCTAAAATTTATGTCTTCTTCACTAACATTATCATAGCATCTGAGTGATGTTATGTGTATGAGTTCACTGGGATGGACCAATGGTAAAATTCAAATGGTGTTTGTAAACCATGTCTATTTAGTACTCAATAAAGCTTTTATGAATCAGTAAAGTAGATACATTTACTAATCCTCTGTTGATGTGCTGTGTACAGAAACGAAAAGTGAATAATTTCCAAATTTAAAAGCATAAAGGCAAACTGGATTTGAACAAATATTGGAAGACCTACCTCTCATATGCTTACAAAGAATCCTTTGCAAAGCCAGTTTTTGCACTTTAAAAGTTATGCGACCCTTTCATGTAAAGTCTCGACTCATTTTTACCATAATAACAATTTCACATATTCATTTTGAAGTAATCATTATAACTTCCAGATATTTCAGTACAATAAAATGGACTCGTGGGAAGAGAAAACAGAAAGCAAGAGACAGCATTAAGTCTAAAAATGCTCACAGAATCACTCATTATTCATGAAAAAAAGTCTGAAGAAAACAAGCAAAAGAAAATGCTAGAAAGTGATCCTTGAAGCAAAAATTCATCCTGCACTGCTCTCCCTGTGCCTTTGCACAGTGAGTGTTGAGTGTTTTTTGAGTATCGTTGGAGCCCATGGATAGAACATGCAGGAAAATATGCCCTCACAGCTTCAACATCTGCACCCCCTGTAGAGAACACGCTCAAGATTTGCTCCAAACTCAGTTCCTGTTGTCTGCACTTCACAGGACAGGATTCTGCTGCAGAGACGTGCGCAAAGTACAGCAACTCATCCCCAGAGTCTGCATACTTTTCTATCAGTGCTGAGACTAAATACTTGACATCTCAAATCAAGGAAAGAAAGGTTTACTGAGTTCATAGTTTGTAGAGGTTTCAGTCTGTAATCAACTGTCTTGGCACTG